CTACTGGGAAGTCGCGAAGGTGATCAAGGTCACTTTCTCCCCGTCGTTTAGCATTCAACGTCGCTGTAAGCTTATCGATCTTGCGTTCGAGTTCTGCCACTCTGGAGTCCGTTCGTTTCTGCCTTTTCCTCGTCGGCACCGTAAAGATGCATTCCCGACGTGCCTTCGCACAGCGACGGCAGCTACCTTCTGGATTTGCGACGTCCGGCTCGCATCTGACCTTTAAAGACCGACAGGACTCGCAAGCCCTCGTCCGCTTCTGATCCTGAGCCGACCCAGCAGCCGTATTTCCAGCGTTCGACGGAGCCCCCTGCTGACTATCCGGCGTCGCGTTCGCACTTTGGAAGGCTTCAGGAGAAACTCCGGACCCAGAAGGTCTATATGGCGTCGAAAAACTCGCCATGGACCTCGATGTGCTCGCGGAACTCGGGCTCACGATGTCCGCGGCCATCGGCCCTAAGCGTAGGTCCACCTGCGGGTTGTCTTCATTCTCGACAGGGCTAAACAACAGCATCGAGTCGTCACCGCCGTCGTCTTTGTCAAGAAAGTAAGCACGCCCACCGCCCCGGAGTGTTCCGGGAGGGTCCTGGGAGTGTAGAATCCCAGAACCCTTACCGTTGTTCCCGCGTCCAGCCGTGGTGAAGGACTTTTGAAAGATGTCTTAAGACTGTTCGGTCGGAGAGGTCGGTATTACACCGACCGACAAGACCTTAGATTTGAAATGAAAAAGGAGGATCGGGGCTGGAGTAGGCCCGTGAAAGACTAACTACCTAGGAGAGCAAAGGTATTATGCGACCCAGGCCTGGTAGACGGTGATTATGTCAGCATATAAGCATTTTTTTGGTGCATGAGGTAGAAAATAAGCTTGCTTGGAGATAGTGTTTTTGAAGCTACCACTCCGGCAAAGTTAACGTTAAGACACGAGACAGGCAACCTGCCCCCAAAAATAAAATAAACAAAAAGGAAAAAGACCGATACGAAAAGATACGAAAAATGGAAAGTAAGAAAGAAGGATTCGGAATTTTGCTTAATAAGTCGGCCCGAAGTGCGAGGTTCGGTCAATATAAATGTCCGTTTTGAGGGAATCCCAGGAGGTAAAAGGACAGAATTTTTATCATATGAGAAGACAATAATATTAGGAACTCACCAGGCTAAAACAAAGTATAGAAAAATAAAAAAAAATAAAAATAAAAACAAAGGAACCAGGGAACAGTGCCAAAGTATGATTCACATTTGCATAGAACTTGCTGCGCAGGAACAGGATATAATCGGACTTTGTGACGACTAAGTCCCCGACGCCCGTCCTATGCACCCGAGTCCGTAGGCCAATTTTACAGTTCGTTCCTAAGCCTCTGTGTTCCGAACCCGAACGAGCTGGGCTGTTCAACTGGTCGCCTATTTAATGGGCAGGTATCGTTTCGGTTCAGAATAGATTGTGAAGGGGGTGGATTCGATTCCTAGATTTGGAGATTTCTCAAAAAAAACTGCAGTGCGGATTTGCTTCGCTTATGAAATACTATTGGGAGCTGGACGGCCTAGTGGGCAAGAGGTAGCATTCGAAGCAATGAGGGAAAAAGATAAAAATAAAAATAAAAAATAGGACTGAGATTGGGATTGAGATTTGAGATTGAACGGTGCAGTTTCGAGGGTACTATGTGTGTACTATACTGTGCTGGATGAAACGAACAGGCAAACCGGGGGGCACAGTCCACAGTCGAGTATAGTGCAATGCAATTGCGGAGCGCCCTTGCTTTTCTTCTTCCGCGGCGGCGGACGATACAAATCGGATTTTGTCCCGCGACGTTGGCCGGACTTGGGTTGATTGATTGATTTGATTTGATCTGGTTCGGTTCGATTGATGGAAAAAGTTGGTTAAACTAAGAGAAAGCTACGATGCGAGCTCGACGGGCGTCAAGAAAAGTTGGATTCTGGTTTTGGTTCTGGTTTTGACTCAACGCTAACAAGGAGACTAATGCAGCATGGTCAGGAAATGCTTCCTTTTTCCACTCAAAGGCTGGCCGGGATATAAGCTTCGTTGCTTCAACCGACCAGGCCATTCATAAGCCGCTTCCCTCTTCGGAAAACGATATTATATTATCTATGCACAGTCTCTGTGCAGCGCACAGTTGACATGCGGACAAGGCCGCCGCAAAGGGGTCACATCTGATGTTTGAATTAGATACTCTGCCTACGACCGCTTCCCACCTGGGAGTAAAGGGGCATGCGTATGACTTTGGCTGTGTTGCGTATGTAATCTACGCGGGCCTAGCAAGATCAAGCAGATAAATGCGCGGCCTGGACTGGTCTTGTCCCGGACATCACAGATGTTAGATTGGGGAGGGTCTTTTGATTATCAAGATAGCCTAACGTTGGCCATCCCACGCGAGCCACAGACAAGCATTGGTTCTTGTTCAGGAAAGCCTTGCTCTTAATAGCTATAGAGCCTTTTTATCAAAATGTCGGAGCCGAAAACCACCGTCCTCTTGCGGTTACGCAGCTTCTCGAATGGAAATCTATCAACTGACTCGTCAAGGCTCGATTTAAATCCGCCCAGGCACGTTGGACTGCAGCCGGTATTCGTCACAACGGACGAGGCAGCTGTAGCATCAAAATTACAATATTCCTACACCATTACAGATGGCGGCGTCTAAAGTACGTACCGTACGAGACTACCTCTGGCTAAACTCGCCGAAAAGCCCCAAGATTACAAGATTAATCGCACCGGAAACACTTACGTACCAATTATTAAGATACTACTCTTCTTAAGAACCTGTAGGAAAGTGGACACAGTTTTACGCACAATGCACTCATGCGTGGCTTACCTTTAAGCTTTGACCGAAGATCCAAAAAAAAAAAAAAAAAAGAACGAAGGAAAAGGTGATCCGAATTTGATAAGTCAGAAAGCTTCGATGACGACTTCAATTCGTCCGTTCCCCCAGTGTGCCTGCTAAATTGCATGCCTAGCACTCAACCGGATGGCTTACAAATGAATACAGGCCTGAATAACAGGGTCCAGCATTGTTGGATCCCCAGTGCGGCACTTCGCATGCAAAACAAATCGAAGGCTCCGTTCTCCGTAAATCTGACTAAGGCAATAACACAAGCCTTGATATATGGAAACTTCAGGAAACAAAAAATCAAGACCTTGGGAAAGGAGGAGTAGCAGGAGGAGGAGGAGGGAGCACCGGCCCATGGCATGAATATGTTCCTACTTCACGTTATCAGTCACGGAACCTACCGCCGTCTGCAGGACACATTTAATGCAATCCCATTCATCCCAGGCGCTCATGTGCCCAATATATCCTCCAACTACTCGCCAAACCCGGTCCCCTTGAAGCAGAATACATAGTCACAAAGCAAGTTAAACGGGAAATGCACCGACGGTAGGCGAAATTGGGGTGGCTTGTCCCATGTTGGCTGCTTACATGAGGAAAGGAACAATGCAATGCCCGTCCCTTAAGACCTTTCGGCCGGAAGAAGGAGAACAAAGTAACTCCGAGTGCTCCGAATTACCCAAGTTGATAAGTGGATCTGCAAGAATGTTAGTAAGTGCAGCGGTGGCCCGGGCTAGCGTTGCTGGAGCCCCTGTTTTATTGGGGCAGAACTGCCTCATGGCGCCTGGCAGACCGAGGCATGTTGCGAAGCTCCGTAAGCTTGTTTTGATGTCGGGCGTCCGTGGACTGCGGGGCTTTGGAGGGGCACAGAGATGTGTTGCGGTGATGTTGAAACTTCTGTGAAAGGGTGCGATGCAGTTTCCAGAGCACCCGAAACGAAACGTCGCACAGGCGTATAAACCACTGACGACTGCTGCTACATACATCGTCTGGATTGAAGGCTGGTGATAATAGACCAACCAACCACCAACCATCGCTCATACAGCAGGAGACAGCCACGAGACTATCACCCTGGAGCTAGTCGAGATGTCGTCAGCAATCAATGCCGCAACTATCCAGGAAATCATGAACGCGTCAACTGCTTCGACACCCCTCCAACCTAGCAGTACGCCTTATCCTATCTTCACCAGATCCTCGCAGAAGGAAATCGACTCCATCCTCACTACAGCCACTGTTCTTGGCTTCTCGGACAAGATCCTCATTACAATCACCCAATCAGGCCGGTTATCCCAATGGTTTCAGGTACCGTTGGATGCCGCCCATCCCGCCTTTCTAGAAGCGAAGTCCACAGCCGACGACGACGGCCTGCTTCCACTTACACATCTCACACCGAAGTGCCTGCTAGGCGCAAGCACTCCTGAAAGACAGGCGCAAGGCCAGCTGTACGCCGTGCAATTGGCAAGTCTGCTGGCTATGAGGAATATTAGGGAGACTAGGACCGTGCTAGTGGGACTGGGGCTCGACAAGGCGGAGCATACGAGTGATACCTTCTTGGAAACTTTGGAGCTTGTCGGTAGTTGCCTGCCATAGTAATATATTACTAAGAAATCAATTATGCTCCGAATCAGACACTTTGTTGTACAAGCCTCGCGGTAGATCACAGGTTCCAATTTCGCGGGGGGATGTTATTCGATTCGATTCGAGAAGATCGGAATCGCTAGGATAAAGCCACATAGTCTGTGACTAATCCACGGAGTCGCCGAGGGGGGCTGTGAGCCGTTTAATTCGAATCTTAATATCATGAAAGTTCGATTGATCCGATGGAAATGGGAAACTGAACACGAAAGGGACGCAAAATAACCTCAAAGTGTTCGGGTCAGGGACATTCGGAAAGCCTTCTACCCGTATCTTAATATACACCGTCAACGTCATCAGCGTTTTGTAAAATTAAATTTCAATAATGGAGCCCACGAGGTCAGCCGAAATGACCGAGAGACTAGACAGTTCTCGGTCGCTTCGGGTGGACCGCAGCAGACCCACTCCCTGTCCTCAGTCTCATGACATAGGGATACACATCGAACAATGCAATATTATTATCATCCGCCCCACAGGATCTGGCTCCGAGTGTCGTTTATAGCCCATCGAGGGTCCCTGAGACATAGCTTTGCTGCTATGACCGAGTGGTTAAGGTGTGAGACTTGAATTGACTGGTCTTCCAGTTGTAGATATCTCATGGGTTCGCCCGCAGAGGTTCGATCCCTCTTGGCAGCGACGTTTGTCATTCTTTTTATTCTTTTTGTTCTTTTTGGCTCTGGAACGGTTTAGGTCGCTGTTAGAGACAAATTGAAGGTTGCTGGAGAGTCTCTTTTTATCTTTAATAATGAGCTGGTGAGATAATCGGCACTGTAATTATTTTTAGATTTGAAACCATGTAATTACAGGCCAGGCCGCTTCGCACCGACGATATTAGCCTGAAGAACGAGTTCATCTCTCGACTCATTTATGTCTAATGCCTTGCTGTGTTGCTGCGTTGAACCTTCGCTCGGCGTTTGTCATACAAGGAAACTCCATCTTCGGTAAACATTGAAATCACATGATCTCCCATCCGATGAGTCGCGCAAACACGTCTTCCAGCGACAGGCAACTGCGCTTTAAACCACACGATGACAATATCCAGGTCCTATTTATACTATTGCTGATATATACCGGAGGCATTTGGCGGATTGAATATCTCCAATCCTTCAAGGATCGAAGAGATCTACTACTATGCCTCGAAATAAGTATTCACAGGTAGCGGTTGTTCCTGCGACTGACTCGGACGACGAAGACGACCTCGATGATATCAAATATGTTGCGCCAAAGCGGAAGGGAAAGGAAAGAGCTTCTAAGATAGGGAAAGATATTGCTCACCAGGAGAGCACTTCCAGTTCTAATTTTAAGCAGGAAGTCAAAGGTCTGTTATATGAATTCTCCAATTGTTGATATCGATGTTGAAATTGAATTCAAGATGATTTATATTTTATACAAAGTTGCAGTTGCACATATACCGAACGATGAGGCGACGGATACCGGGAATGATACCAGTGATCTGGACAATATCAAATTCACTTCCCCAAAGAAGAAGCCAAAACAAAAACCCATCGCGACTCCTAAGAAAGATCCTTCAATTATCTCTATATCATCGTCTACGGAGGCGGAAGATATCAAAGTGCAGAAGCTCATTAAACCGGTCAAAAAACAACGTCCGCTCTCAACATCGGTGGTGAAGAAGCGTAAGCCCAGTAACCCAGCACCGCCTTCTTCTTCATCTTCTTCAGAGGATGATTTTCGGCCCTTCCCTCGGAAACGTGCCCGTGAAGGCGAGCCGCCTGCCTCTAAGGAGGTCCGTGTTAAAGTTGAACGGGGCCGTGAAAAAGTAGTAATGACAGATGACGAAGATGACGACCCTTACCAACGCTACAAGGCCTCCAAGAAACGGAAGGCTGGTACCCGCGGACGTCCGAGGAAAGACAGCGCAATCACACCCCGAAAACCGTATGAATCTATGTTGACACCACGATCCAGACGCACTCATAGCCAGCTTAGAGACCTGGCTATTGACCGCGAAAACGGGTTTAAGTCTGACGAAGATACAACAGTTGATTGCCCACCCCACCTGCTTCTCAAAAAACAAACCCTAGAGAAGGATCAAAAAGAGAAAAGCAAACCGTTGGAGTCAATCTATAGGTTCCCACCTGATTCTAACTTATTCTCAGATGATGAGGATGGGTTAAGGGACCTAGAGGAAAAACCTCAGTTTCCCGGTGCGAGCCCCTGCCGCGAATATAAGGATATTGTACTGGACAGATCCCGTGGCGTAATACCCGCATCAATCGCCCGGTGGCTCCGAGACTATCAAATTGAGGGTGTACGGTTCATGCATAATGCTTTTATTCTCAACACTGGTGTGATACTCGGCGATGACATGGGCCTCGGGAAAACGGTGCAGGTCATCGCATTTCTTACCGCTGCCTTTGGGAAAACAGGCGATGTGAGGGACTCACGCCGCATGAGACGCATGAGAGACCGGAAGCCCGATGAGTGGTATCCTAAGGTTCTCATCGTGTGCCCGGGGACCCTGATATCGAATTGGGTTAGGGAGCTGGAGACTTGGGGTTGGTGGAAGGTTTACGCATATCACGGGGCGAAAGGGGTGAAGGAAGATGCACTAGGAGCTGCTCGAACAGGCTATCTAGAGATCTTGATTACCACCTATGACACATATCGTAGGTTTAGTTGTTTCACTTGTGCAATTGGCAAATCTTGGTGCTAACTAGGGAACAGGACGAGATCAAGCGAAGATCAATATGATTGAATGGGATGCCTTTATCGCAGACGAATGCCAGAAGGTCAAAGAGCGAACATCAGGCATTACGGAAGCCATGAATGTGGTCAACAGTCTCTGCAGAATCGGGTTAACAGGGACAGCCATTATGAATCATTATGGCGTAGGTTTGATAGTTTATTACCACACCTTCCGATACAGCTGAAGTAACAACCTTGGCATCTAGGAACTCTGGAACCTCCTCAACTGGATTCGTCCCGGCGAAGTCGGTACATATAACGATTGGAAAAATGATGTTGAAAACCCTCTTAAAATCGGACAAGCTCATGGTGCCACGAATGCAGAGCTAGCACGTGCTCGTAGTACGGCTAATGACCTTGTCAAGAATCTATTACCACGAATGTTCCTTCGTCGAATGAAATCGCTTATCGCCCACCAATTGCCTAAGAAGACGGACCGCGTAGTATTCTGCAAGCTGGGTGCGTTGCAGCAAGAGGTTTATGAAAATTACCTTGAAAGCGATGTGGTGGGGCTGGTGAAATACTCCACCGACAAGTGTGATTGTGGGTCACACAAGACAAGGGGGAAATGTTGCTATAGAAAACTTGAAGATGGAACCACAGTTTCTCAGGCGGTGTTTCCGTGTATCACCAACATGAAACTTTTATGCAACCACCTCGCAAACTGGATTCCTCGTGATGGTGAACCCCTCGAAAAACAAGAGAAGGATATTGAGAAGTTACAAATTGGGCTTCCTAATAATTGGGAGAAATACTACCGACGACAGTACTTCGAGAACGTCACGGACCCAGGATTCTGTGGTAAATGGCAGGTTTTACAGAGGCTCCTTGCATTCTGGAAAGAGAATGAAGAGGGTGCTAAAGTTCTCATTTTCTCGGAAAGCAAGAAACTTTTGAAAATGCTCTATATGCTATTAAACAATACGCATTATAACATTTGTTACCTGGACGGTGAAATGTCTTTGGAAGATCGAACTGCCGCGGTTGAGAATTTCAATACCGATGCGAGTTACTTTGCATTTTTAATCTCTACAAGAGCAGGAGGGGTTGGGTTGAACATTGTCTCTGCGAATAAAGTAGTTGTGTTCGACCCGTCCTGGAATCCATCGCATGATTTGCAGGCACAGGATAGAGCTTATCGAATCGGGCAGCATAGGGATGTGGAAGTGTTCCGACTGGTCTGTGCTGGGACAATCGAGGAGATGGTATATGCACGGCAGATATATAAACAACAACAGGCAAATATTGGGTATGAAGCTTCTTTCGAACGAAGGTATTTCAAGGGGGTCATGAAGGATGCGAGCCGGAGGGGCGAGTTATTCGGGTTAAAGAATCTGTTTACTTTCCATCAAGAGAACGTGGTTCTTCAGGAGATCGTCAATCAGACGAATGTGGCAGAGAGTAAAACCGGGATTGCGATCTTGAATATGCCAGATGTTAATGGTGACGATGGAATGGATGAAAGTGTTTTTGGAGAAGAGGCAGGAGATATGGTAGATGATATCATTGGCCAGATCCAGGCAATGGTATCTGATGATACTAATAATTCTACCGCAGCGGGAGCAAAAAATAAGATGAAATTGGACCCCGTATCCGCGATTCTTGCATCTGCGGGCGTGGAGTATACGCATGAAAATACGGAGGTGATAGGGACTTCGAAACTCGAGGAGAATATTTCTAGAAAAGCGGTGGAAGTGAATGAAGATCCGACAATGAGGGCTATGACGGCTTTTCAGAACGATGTTATGAATGATGGGAGGTTTAAAGTTGGCGGAGTACCCGGGGAAGTTCGAATTAGGCAATTTAATGAGCTCAGGAAAGCCTTTGGGTATGAGAAAAAGGAAGAGGGAAGGTTTGCATTGGAGGTTGAGGGATGGAAGCCCGAGAAGCGGGCTGAGGCGTTGGAGAAGGTAGGTTTTCCCTTTGCCCTTTCTAGAAATAGAGATAGATACTAACGGTGAAGAAGTTCTATAGATCAAGACGGCGGGTCCTGGCAGCCAGAGGAGAGTTAACTGAGAGAGATGAGGTGCCGGAGATACACCAGGATGTCATTACTATCGATGACACTGAGGAGGAAGATATTGAAGATGAAGACGAAGTCGAAGAAGACGGTTATGATGAAGAAGAGCTTCGGTAGTGTATATGTTTCATGGACCTTCTTGGATTTTATATTGGCGTTCTAAGGTCATAGCTTCGGATTGATATCATGTTGGGTTCGTAGAGGGAGCTTTAATTATGTATTTCTATGTATATTCTCCTCTAAAAAGGAATGCAAATGCTAGCGGGGTATCATACAAGGGAACGCTAAAAAAAAAGACAGTGATGGCTGACTGCAAGTTAATATCTCTTCTACCTCAAGCACCTATATTCGATGCCAACCAAAACCAACATGCGTGCCAGCTAGCATTAATGCTCAGGCTAGAGTTCATGGATGCTGGTATACGAAACTAAGTCGGAGCGGCAGCAATTGGAATTATAGAGAGCATGGTGCCCAGTAGCTCGTCTCTCCCTCTTGCTCATCGACCCATAGAAAAGCTTCAGCCATCAAATCATCCACCACTGCCTGTGCTCTAGGAGCAATCCATCCTAAATTGTCCACCAGCACCCCAATAGTCACAAATCCGAGGACTTGGATAACCTCCAGCACCTTCGCTTGATCCCTATTGAGTTCCTTAGGCACGCTCCGTATCATATTCGTTTTTCCTATCTTTATGACCTCGAAGCCTGACCCAAGGGGTTTCAAACACTCCACCGAGCGTATTATATCATCCTCAGAGATCTGTAACCCAGTTCCGCCACCGCCAGTCGACTGATCCTTCTTAAGAAGAGTAGATTGTACCTCAGTAACAGATATCAGTCCCCCATTTTTCGACCGGGTATCACGGCAAACCTCAACGATCTTAACAGCAAGCTCGAAGTAAAAATCG